CATACATACATACATACATACATACATACATACATACATACATACATACATACACACACACACACACACACACATGCATACTGTGTGGGTGTGGGTGTGTTTCTGTGTTTTCTGAGGTTTTCGTGGGTGTTTGTATGTAGGTCTTTGGTTATTTGGGTTTTCTCCCGCGTAAAATTGGAAGTGTCTTGGCAACGTTTTGACGAAGTCTCATTCGTCATCTTCAGGCTGGTTTACTTGGTTTCATGCTTCCAGGAGCAATGTGAGATTTCAGCTGCGATCTCACAAGCCTCCTGGAAGCACAAAACCAAGTAAACCAGCCTGAAGATGACGAATGAGACTTCATCGAAATGTCGCCAAGACACTTCCAATTTTACGCGGGAGAAAACCCGAATAACCAAAAACCTACGTATATATAACTTTCACTGATCTCTAATTGAAATTTAGCTTGTATTGTAGGTGATTTAACAAACCCCCAAGCCTATATATTACTATTATTTGTTATTTTTTTAAATAATTTGATAAGTATATTTGAACATAATGGGTTCCCTTTCTAACAAAATATATTTATATTGTTATAACACATAATATACATGTACATATACAGAATGTAATAACTAGTTTTATGGACTTAAATACATTCTTCTGACCAAAGCATTGTAGGTTTCTTGAAGCTCTCAAAGAATCCAGGGCTTAAGAATCCTTTCCTTGAGAGGTTGGACAAGGCCCAACAAGTAGGTATTGTGTATCCTGAACATTTTTATCCTTTACTTGTAGGACGTGATGATAAACGAAACTGGTTTCATTCCTGATATTGATGTTCCTGAACCAGAACCCTGCAAGTTGAGTCCAAGAGACACAACTACAACACATCAACCAGAAGGTCACACCAAGTACAAAGCAATTCCAGATGTGGTTTCCAAAGATGTTAGCACCCCTTAGCCTGATGTTCATAGCTTTGGGGTTTGTTAGGCTTCTCATCTTCTCCCCTCCTTCCCCTGATATGAGTTAAGAGCTTCCCTTACCAGTTTGTAGTTCCAAGCCCAGTTGTGGAACTGCTTTTGATATTTACTTTTCTCTGTGGCTGGATGGCTGGCGGTCTACACCCAACCACTTTTTTATTGCTGTGTGTATGAAGTTCAAAGCTGAAACAAGCTAGTCAAGACTAGGGAGAAGTCCAAATGCCAGTATATCACCTGGAATTTAAAGAGGGCCTATCCTTCTTTTCAATCTCAAGCCAATCCTGCCATACTGTTCTACTCTGGGAAGAAATAGGGCATCAGTCATGGGATAAACAGAGAATAAGAGCCCAGGGCAAATGTGGGCAACGAGTGAATTTTATAGCAGACTTCCTCAACCTGATATCTCCAAATATATCATCTGGATTGGAATTCCCAGCCAACATAGCCAAATTCCTTGCTACCTGGGAGGTTTGAATAAATGGAAGATACCTGGGTAAAAAAAGGGAACTCTTAAGTATTCTCTTGTATTCAACCATGTGCCTTGCATTGATGGCCTGGAAGGCAAGCAAAATGCCTTTATTGGAAGACCATTAGAAAGCAGTCTGAGGTAACCCACCGTAATAACATCCACAGCTGAAACAATATGCATAAGGAAGTGGAGCAGTCAAGTTGGCCCTTGACTTGAGCAAAAATTAATTCATACATGAGCCCAACACATAAAGTATATTAAATGGAGAAAATGATTGATAGAAATGCAATAGAACATTAAATCTTATAAAAAGAGAACACCGTTTTATGTATTTTGATACGTGAAACAAAGGACTGGATTTGCCACTCTTATCATTAGCAATTCAATTCTATTTTGAAGGTTCCACTAGAATAAAAGGATGGGACAAACATATAATCAAAATAATATCTACCTTTAGTGTATTAAAAACAGAGATTTTTTTCCAAATTCTTTGCAATAGGAATGAAATGACACAAGAGCATTTCTACTTTTTCTTAGAATATCCAACATCCAATATATTAACAATTGTAATGTTAAGATCTTTAATGATAATTTCTCTGTAAATGTGATTAAAATAAGATTTACTTTCATATTTTATATACTTTTTATCATTCAAAAATTATTATATTTTGGGTTTTTTAAATAAATAGATGTATATTTGGTATGAAAATGCTCATATGATTAAAAATACAGATACCTGATTATGACAATCAAACATAAATTTTTATCTGATTCGTGCACGTTTCTGTCTTCTTTAATATACAGTACTTGCAAGTTGTCTTCCAAACCACTAGTTTGGAGACAGAATTGCTAGGGGACAGGCTAGGTCTGTGCTCCTTTGATAAAAATTAAAGACTTGTCTCTTGATGGTTGACCATTAAAGCTATCTGTCCCTCTGCTATCCCTCACCCAAATTTCTTCATGAAAATTGAACTATACCTATATGGACATGCAGACATGCAGGTGTTTAATAATACAAATATTTGTCAATTGCTTCATTATTCAAACAGCTATGAGTCCATCCAAATAATGGTGCTGAATTCTCTCCTGAATGATATACTTTATCTTGCCAGTAGATCAATATGCCCATATTTTCACTGCTTCTCTGCATTCAACCTTCAGGTAATTCTTGACTTACCACCACAATTGAACCCAACATTTACATTGCTAAGCAAGGCAGGTGTTAAGTGAGTTTTGCCCCGTTTTACGACCTTTCTTGCCACAGTTGTTAAAGAAATCACTGCAGCTGATAAGTTAGTAACACAGATGTTAAGTGGATCTGGCTTTCCCTTTGGCTTTGCTTGTCAGGAGGTCACAAAAGGGGAATCACATGACCCTGGGACACTACAACAGTCATAAATACAAGTCAGTTGCCAAGAAACCAAGTTCTTTATATCTTTTCTTAAGAGATCCTCGCCTTGTAATCCTCTTTTCCCTCTCCAACATATTATTAGAAGTGCCTCCCATTTCCAATTCAATCATTCTGATTCAAAAACTATTGTCTAGCCCTGAACCAACTAAGAGCTATTTAATGCTTTGATAGAAAGTGGCAGGACAAGATCAGTTTTCAATAGGTTTTGACTGCTTATAGATTATTTGACTGATTTCTGAAAAGACCTGCTCTATCCTGTCCATATGTAGTCATAATCTGATAGAATATACAGGTAGACCTTGACTTACAACAGTTCATTTAGTCATAATTCAGAGTTACGACGGCACTGAAAAAAGTGACTCATGGCTATTTTTCACACTTATGACCATTGCATGTAAATCATGGTCAGGTGATTTACATTTGGATGCTTGTCAACTGGTTCATATGGGACCATGTGATCATCTTTTGCAACCTTCTGACAAGCAAAGATAGTGGGGAATCCATATTAATTTAACAATCATGTTACTAATTTAACAACTTCAGTGATTCACTTAACAAGAAAAGTTCTAAAATGGGACAAAACTCACTTAACAAATTTCTCACTTAACAATATAAATTTTGGACTCAATTGTGGTTATATGTCGAGGACTACCTGTACTTAATTCTCTCATTTACCCATCCCTATCCTACCAATTGTATTTAATTTCCCAACTGCATTACTTGAATCTGAAAATCTGCAGCATACAAATATATTTCTAGTAAATACTCAAAATTTGCAAATTCTGACTTGTAGAATTCCATTCGTAAAATAGCTAATTCCATTCCATTACTTATATATTGGCTGTAAGCCAATATATTTCATTTTTTTAGAAACCCATGACTTCCCAAATTGGCTGAGGCAAGTATTTGTATAGCCTTTATTGTCATTGTACATCATGTATACAATGAAATTGGTTTTAGCCTCACAGGTGCAATCCATGACAAAAAATACAAACAACATAAATAGTATAAAGAATAATCCCTATACAAGTGGTGCAAGTAAGTTCTGCCCTAAGCTTATGCAGTAATCGAGGAAAACTATTTCCATATAAATTAACAACTCCTGTACATTTACACACACACACACACACACACACACACACACACACACAAAACAAAACAAAACAAAAAACCTCCAAACCTTGTTCTTTTTACTCTAGGAAAAGATGAGAGACACTTTAATATGATAAACCATTCCTCCCTCAACCATTCTCAAGAAACTTCATCCACATTATTTTGAATATTTTCATAACTATTCAGATGTCAGTGTACTATTTCCATGGACATGTTTAAAAATCTGTAAGTGTATACAGAAAGTCTCCTACCAATTAGTTTTGGTATTTCTGGCCAATAACCAAGTACAGAAAACTTAGCAGCCAATCAATGCTTTGTGACTGATCGTTAACTAGGCGTCTCACTTCACTACTCGGGTCCACACCTAAACATGAAAACTTCTCCCTTTCTACAAACAAAAGGTAATAAATCGCTTGGATTTTGTCATGTGCAAAATGTTCCATTGTAGGGACAGAACCTTCTGGGAAACTATTCCATTTTAATTCCAGTTTACATTGGGAATTCCCAGATGGGTCCTGGGCATTTTGTTTTTAATGTAACAGGAAGTGATGTGATAAATTGGACATATTCCAGCCTCAAAATAGAACATTTTGCAGGGTGGCAAAGCTTTCACTTGCTGACATGCTGGCAATGCTGTATGTAGTCTTTCTTCCAATGGTGGGTTCCTGCTAGTTCAGACTGGTTCAGACTGGATCACTGGAACTGGCAGTGACCCAGGCATGCCATGTCCCCGAACTGGTTCTCCAAGCAGTGCCTATGGCGCTGCCATCTTCTTATTTGCTTCTACGCATGCACAGAGCAATTTATATTGGAAAGAGCATGTGCACACAGCATACACAAGTGCATATACAGCACAGCCATGAGCAAACCAGCAGTAGTGACTGCCGGAACCCACCCCTGCTTCCTTCCCTACTCATGGCAACATCCAGGCAGTTCCTAGGAGAGGGAAAGTGACCTGAATGAGGAATTCCTCACTTTTTTCAGTGCCATTGTAACTCTCAATGGTCACTAAACAAACTGTTGTAAGTCTATCTAATTTTTTCCCCAATATTTTGCCTCAACTTTCCTTTGAAATTTCTCTAATCACTTCCTAGCTCTGAAGCCTATCCTACAGGAATGGAATCATAACGATCACTCTGTTTGTTCCTGATTTTGGCATTATATCAGAGATTTTTACAAATTCAGAGAGGATAAAAGGACACATTTAAAATATATGGAAATAACTGAGAAATTTCCCATTGGAGGAAAAAAAGTTGTATCTATATGAAATCATAGACATTTTAGAAGTAAACTTGCAAACTGGGATTTGAAAGAAAATAAAAATTTGTTCTGCTTCTGTGAAGCATTCTGTTTCATATTTCACTTTATCTGAAGTACAAGTTGTGAAGCTTGTTACTTCGAACCAAGTGTGTATTATTATTATTTTTTGCTTTTCTTCCTAGTTTATGATATTTGGAAATTTAAAATAGAATATATTTGCTACTTGCCAGTCCATTTCTGAAGAAAGAAGAAATGTCTGCATTTATTAGGGCAGTGAATGCTTCAAAATTTATTTAGAAAACAATTTAAATACAGCATCTCTCTCCTGGTCATTAAAAATGTGTAACTTTTTTTCATTTTGAGCCTGAAATCACATTATCAATACAGATAGTCCTCAACATAAGACTGCCATAGAGCCCAGAATTACACATAACTTGTTGCAGTCGTAAGTCAAAGCATCGTGTGACTGGACCTAAATTTTCAACATTTTTACAGTAGTTGTTAAGCAAATGCTATAATCATTAAGCAAACACTGAAGTCATTAAATGAAAGCCAGGACACTGCCATTCTGTCATAAGTCAGAGTTAGGGATATGCTATCACCATAACTCCTAAAAATAAATCAGAAGTGGCTCTGGGGCAGTTCCTCATAACTTCAAATAGTTATTGTACAACCAGTCATAAATCAAGGATGACCTACAATGAATGGCTTGTTTAAATACAATAAA